CCCAAGGGGTCCTCCCCCCCCACCCCAGCTATGTTTGTCTTTGTTACCACATATTGACTATATTATATTTTATAGCTGAGTAGCTGCCCTTTAAAAAAAAGATTACTGTCTCACACCATCTCAACTTGGCCCTAGAAAAAGTAAGTCATAACTTTTTCTTTAGCTTTTTTTTTTTTTTTTGGTGCCTCACACACGAATGTTTGTGTCACAGAAAACTGCGGCGGGAAGCTTTTAGGGGTGGAGGGCTCTGTTTCCTCAGTGCTAGGTTCAGTACGCAGCAGTGAGGCCAGAGCGTCTCAACAGGGACGCGCCTGGCACAACGCTCTGCTCGCAGGCGCGGGGAACAGGCACTTCGGCAGCTGTGGCTGAACCTCTGGCAGCAGCAAAAGGAAACATGAAGGCTGGTTCTGGAGCGGGGCAGGAGGTAAGTACTCGCCTTCTGCTCAGGACGCTGAAGCTACCCTGGTTTTCGCTTAAGGTTCTGTAAGCGGTTTTGTAATAAGCTTTTGTAGCTTTGCCTTGTTTCTTGATGCTGAATGTCATAACTAAACATTAAAAAACAAAAAAAAAACAAAAAAAAACTTGGTTAAACTGAAGCAATGCGGCTTTTAAAAGATACTTTTGGGATTCAATCTGTTATTATTTCAGGTACCAGCAGGGATGGAAGATGTGCAAATATGACAGAGTCTGGAGTACACAGTAAAAGCCAGTATCTTTACTTTAGTGAATGCAGGATACAAATATTTTACAACAACCTCTAGCATTTTCTTAACCATTTGATAAAAAGGTTCACTAGAATATTTATTGTATATTGAAGAAAAACAACACATTCAGGGAAAAAAATTGAGATTAACTTATTTTTTTCTCTTAAAAGATTCATCTCAAGGATGGCAACAAAGTCCAGCTTGTGCCGCCAAACGGCTTATCATCATTAAACCGTGAACAGCTTCTTTGTGAACTGTTGACTACAAACATTTACCAAATACATAAATCTCTTTTAAAAAAGCCATTTTAAATATAGCAAAGCAGTGTTCTCTTGCACAGCAAAGTGAAGAAAGTTTCTACTAAGATTTAAATGTTTACATTTATCTTTCTTTCACATTCTAATTTAACTTCTTCCCATGATCAATTGTTAGGAGTCATTATGTTCCTTATTTACTATGTATTTCTTGTGCGCACAGTAATTTTTACGTTTCTGATGCATTAGTGTCCTTTAAGTAAAAGGAAAGGCTAAAGCATTTTTCTCTGACGAATCCCTGATTACATCTGTACTCTTAAATACTATCAGCGAGAGCTCAACGATGGAGAGGTGATTTGTCACATTAAAAGATAAAAATCTTAAATCATTCAGACTTGAATGGATTCAAAATAGAATTGGAACCACTTACAACTTCATTCAGTATACTTACTTTTAAAAAAGGTTTTTTTTTTAACTGTTGAAATATCTGTGCTATGTTTTTTTTTTTTTTGTACAAAACACTTTTACAGTTTCTAAAAAAGTATGGTTTAAAGTGAGCTATGTATGTTATTAAAAATCAGAATTCCCATTTACTTACTTAACAGCAAGAGATGCTCCCACTGACGTGGGAGGTCTTCATAAAAGACTTATTCTGCTGAGTCTATTGGTGGGTTTGGGGCAACATGTTAACAGTCTCAGTATCAATTCTTCACAACTGATTTTTTTTTTTTTTTGAATTGGTGCAATTTCATTATAAACACTAACCGATAACTTTTTAAAGAAAACAGTAATAGTACTGTTTGTTTAAAACCTGCATAGAAATAAAGACTATTGAGATACAGTCAGCAAAGCCATCTTATAAGGCACACAAGAAAATAGACAGTAAATGTGAATGCAGAACTCCCACTCAGATGTACAGCAAAGTTCATATATGTGCATAAATAATGAAAAAAAAAATCACATAATTTTTTCAAAGCATTAAAAGGTTCTTTGAAGTGGTAAGTAAGTGAATTAAATCACTTTGGCAATACAGTTTCCATTAGAAAGAGAAACTGGTTCCTCTGTAGGATTTGTAAACTGGTAACTAATGCTGGAATAATGCAGCCTGATTTCCACTGGTAACAGTGTCTGAAACAAACAACTAGGAACCAGTGAATTTTAACGTTACTACGACAACAACAGACCTGGTTTGCAAGCTGTATGTAGTAACTTTGTTCTTCAGTTGCATCCTAAGCAAGCAGCTGAGGAGATAGCTGGCTGCACTGGATTTCCATTTCTAACACTTCAGTTTAGTATCAAGTGATTTTTTTTTTTTAATTTTTTTTTTAACAGCTTTAGAAAAAGTTTAAAAGCCCAAGCAAAAAATTTAATAACTATCAGGGATAATTTTGAATGGGTTTGGTACAAAACCCACCATTGTTCCTTTTTTCCCAAAATTAGAGCTACCAGCGGTAACATCTGTATCTTTTCAAGGTGGTTCCCAGTAGGAAGGAATATTTCACATGTCCAGGAAGATGGCAGAGCAAGGACTCGAAAACAGATTAGATTTCTACAGCAAGGTAAGAATGCTTGCTAACACAAAATCAGTTACTCCAAACTAAGTTGGCATAACTTTATATACCAAGTCTTGGGGTTCTCAGAGGTTTGTTGCACAAAGCCAGTTTTTACCAGCTCTGATAGGGCAGGTAATTATCAGTCCGACTGCGGCCTACAAGCAACAGGTGACACTCCACCACTGTCGCTGGCCCTCTGAAGCTGGTTACAACACAGGCAGATTGTGCAAACCCTAAGGACTGTAATGTCCTGCTACATTCTAAATGTATAAATCAAAGAAGAGAATGAGAACTTCTACTAGCCAGGTTTTATAACACGATGGGACTCCTTGCTCTTTTTCATGGAAACAGCAAAGAGGAACAGCATATTTATTTCTGAGGCTGAGGTTTTTATCCCACTTACCACTTAAAACACCTTTTGTGCTCATTTGATATGTGTTAGCTCCCTATCATGAGAAATCAGGTCAAGTTTTTCCACTTTTTTTTTTCCTCCTCAAAAGAGGCAGTTTTAAAATGATGCCTTTAAAATGTGTTGTAACAGATTTTTAATATTTATGCAGGATGAACTTAACACCAGATTTTTTTTTTGCCACTTTGCTATTTATATACATATATATAAAATGTATAATGAAGCTTAACCATACAGCACAGAGATTACAATTTAACGGCACACATTCACCACCAGTGAGGGGGACAACCCCTTTATACACCCTCTGAAAAATCTGGATAATAATATTAATAATAATTAAAATCCAAAGAAAGTACAGTATATTTAACAAAATAGTAAATATTAAACAGTGAATACTCTACTTAATAAGGACCTCGCCTTTTTCAAGTTGGCGTCAATCCACAAAAATATACTTTTTAAATCTGGTGAACGTACAATACATAGGTACTTACACCAAAGGTGATAATATATTTAAGATGCTATATACACAAAGAGTTTGGCTCAAATTTAAATTTACATATAAGTGTTCATGGCTTATTTTCCCCCCAAGGTTCCGCCTGCAAGTTTTTCCTTTTCATCTTTGAAAGCAAAAACTAGAAAGTCAAAATAAGATAAAACTATACTCTACAAAAAAGCTACAACATACAGCTTTGGCTTATATAAATAATTCTTAGCAGAATGTGTTCAAAAGTACTGTATATAACTTTATATATAGTCTTCAATTCATTAGGGTATTGTTTTCTTTTAATATAAAATATACATGAGCTAAAATCCGTTTCTATATTTTTCAAAGGTATGAACGTAAAAAGAAATTTGTCAAACATATTCCAATTATAACTTAATATATTAATTTTATTTTGTTAATGATCTATCTTCTAGGCTAATATTTTCTGAATATTTCATGCGAGTTTTCTATGTCTCTCTTTCACTTTTATTAAAAAAAAAAAATCACTTCTTTGACCCAATACATTTTTTTTTGCACGTGCAAAACAAGATTTTTGTTTTGTGTTTTTTATAGCATCAGCCCTTCTCCATGCACCCTCTGCACTAGAGACCCATGCCAGGTTGGGTAATATTAAGGTCATTTTATGTACAGTATTGCTTTCTTCTTCCTGCTTTTTCTACTGCTCTGCTGCTACAAAGCATTATTTCTTAACTACAAGTAACCATACAGCTTTAATAAAACACACAGGGACATTACTACAGGCGAGCCCTCTTGGTTTCTGCAATCTAGTGTGGTAGGATTATAATATGGGTACAACGTTTCTTTGCAAAACAGGTTATATTATTAAAACAACAAGTCCAGGTAAGTGCCAGACTAGATCAATACCTATAGGATTGTTCTGTTACATTTTTACCATGGGACATCTGCAGCTATACAAGAAGTTTGTAATAAGTGCCTGATGATTTTTGTGTATGCTACACACACTAGCACATATATATGCATGTGAAGATATATATATGCATGTATGTATATACATATAAATATACTTATTTCATGTCCTTATTTATAAATTTAGATATGTCAGGACAGTTCATTTTGAGAACACAAAACTGAAGAGGCAGCACTGCAAGTTTATGTCACCCATGTGTCCATCCTCATCCGTTTTACTGATGGACTCTCTCTATCTTCTGAATTTGGTGGCCTTCCCAGCACAACAGGTGAATGGAAATCACTTCTGGGGTCTTCCCGATCACTGCCATCGTAGGAACTGCTGGAGCTGCTGAGACTGTCGACAGGAGAGCGACCCATTTCCTGCCGTGATTGCTGCTGCTGCTGCTGCTGCTGCTGCGGTGGTGGTGGTTGCTGCTGTTGTTGTTGTTGTGGGAAGCCAGAGGGAGTTACACGGTCCCGGGGAGGTGAAATTGGTTCAGATTTTATGTTGATGTTTTGGTTGGTATTAATGGATAAATTTGAACCCTGAGATAGCTGGCTGCCACTACTGGGAAAGAGAAAACCAAAGGAAGAAATAAGAAAACAACAGGAGAAAGGAAAAAAAAAAAAAGTGACAGTTCACGTGTGCCTGTATGAGGGGTCTGGTCTTCCAGTTCAACACCCTCAAAATGAGTATGTAAATAAATGCGACTTGTTTCTTCACTGAACTAAGTTGAAAAAAGCATCAATTAAAGGTCTGAACTGTATTTGTAAAATAAACAGAAATATTTCATCTTTCCAAACATTTAAGATAATCATGTAGGTATCTTCTTTGTAAGAAGATGGGCCTGAACGGATGCTGCTTGTCGGCCCAAATTGAAATGACAAACAGGACAATAACGATTAAACCTGCAACGAAGGAGCAAACCTGAAAGGCAGTGCATACTGGGGTAACAGAAAGGAAATTAAACGGGTGGTGTGTTGACTATATATCCCAGTGAAGATTATTCAAAGTGGTAGACGCTCCCACCTAGATGGAATACCAGAACAACATCGCATTTACTTACACAAGAGAGCTGAGGGCTGCTGGACCTAGATGGTGCTGCTGCCAGGCAGATACCTGCCCTAAAGATAGCATTCCCGGGGAGTTAAATCCCTGTAAGGCAGACAGGTCTGCACTAGTCAAGGAGTAATCTAAGAGGGAAAAACCAACCAAACAAAGAAAACAGTTAATACGTTTTTTTACACACACATACAAAATATATAAAAGCTTTCTGCTCTAATCTGAGGACCTCAACAGGACAGTAGTCTCCAAATACCCTATTTTTGTTTTTATTTTCTGCCTTTGATTCCTACTTGCTGTTGTCTCTATGGCTTCTTTTAAACCCCTAGGTACAACACAGTTCTGCACGTTATCTTGCATTTCTTTCTTACACCAAGCAATGTATTTCCATTTCCGAAGATTTTAGTCTATCTGGAAATTTCAAAATGAAACAAAAAGGAAAGAACTAATACAAGTCATTAAAAGACAATGGCTAGTCACGCAATCAAAAAAACATACACCTTTTGGCTGGCTCATCTGTTTCAAAGCACAAAGCACGCATAGTCCTACAAACTCTACCAAGCCAACCAGTGAAACAGCACTTGCTGCTATTTGTCTGGCTCCCAGGGCAGGCAAAGGACTCGTGCAAGCTAGGGAACGATGCACCTGCCGCTGCAGCCAGGGGAAGGCAACACACAGGGAGCCTGGG